AGAGGGAGAGTGAAGACTAGAGAGGGAGCAGCCGTTGCGAAGGGAAGAATCGTCAGAGGTCATTGTGGCGGCAACTTTTAAGTAGATAGACGGGAGTGGAGATGAGAGCGGAGAGAGAATGTTAGAGCCCCGTGAGCAGATAGGCAAGATCCCTTATTTCGTCGAAGGGTGGAAGAACCGTCGGCGGTGACGATTTCTGAGAGAAATGGGGAGGAGAGAATAGGACGAAGGGGAGAGGATGGGATGGTGTGGAATGAATTCTAAGGTTGATTAAGGTTATTTTAATTGGGATGAAAATTATATAATTAATATTAAATTAAATATAAAAAACCTGATTTTTGAAATGTTAAATTTGTAAGCTGATTTGTGAAAATGGTATTTCAAATGCCTGACTGGCTGTAATTTCCTCTTCGGATTATTGGCCTCTAGTTGTAAAGCAGGAGGAAAAAAAAAAAGATTTGAGTAATTGACACAAATAATACTAATATCTAGAGAGTTGAGTTCTTGACAACCTTAATAAAAAGTACCCCAACAAATTAAAAAAATAGAAATTCGATCCTAGATCAATAGCTCTTATTGTTAATGACACAAACTATTGCAAAAAACTTAAGGAGAAATAGTTAGTGATTGTAGACACCAAAGCAGTTACGGAATTGTCGGTTGGCGATGATTTTTCATCCTACCTCTCTAATAAAGAAATTTGAATCTTTATTGTTGAAATGACAAAATTTCCTTCAAACTATTTTGTAAAAACGAAGACTTTTCAAGTAGTATTTATATTTGAATTATTTTTTACTTAGCCCTTCGTTGGGTTTCATAGAAACGAGATTTTAGGAGAAATTATGGACTGTTCTCTTTATATTTCAGTTTTGTATTTTGAATTCATTTTGTGGTTTGTGTTTTGATTGTTCATTTTGAGATTGTTGAAAATGTGTTCTTTTTGACATTTTGAAAAATTATTTTGAAAACACCCAAAATGCTTTTTGAAAATTTTGGTTTGATTATAATTGAAAACAATTTGTTGTTTTGAGTTTTCTTTGTAAAATTTTAATTTGTTTTCAAAAACGCGTTTTCGAAAATAGGAAAGAGAACGCGTTTTCAATATTTTGGAAAATCGAAAATAGAAAACAGTTTGAAAATAGTAAGGAGAACAGACTCATATATTTTAGAATAGTAATTTTTTGTAAAATGTGTAATTAAAAAAATGAAAAATTTTGAATTTACGTGTAATATTGTTTTATGGAAAAATGAGAGGTTGAAAATGAATTTGAAAAAAAAAAATGCATTTTTAGAAAATGGCTTACAAAAAAGAACTTATTTGTTTTTACAATAGAATGCTCCTCTTATTTTCTGAAAAATAACTTACCTATTATTTTCTTTAAAATTCACTTACTTATTTACCTTTTTGGTTTCAAATAAGTAATTTTTCTAATTTTAGTAATAAAAATATATTAAAACTTTTTTCATAAATAAAATTTAAATGCGCAAATTAGCCAACATTTTATTTAAAATAAAGCTAGTTGTACAAACATAGTTTTTTTTTTTTTTTAAGGAATGGGGGCGGTACTTTCGAGATTTTATTAATATATCTTCACTTGTGGCGGAAGAATACCATAATTACAGCTGAAAATAAGCAATAAGTGAGGAAGTACTACTTCCCTTACATCAGAAATAAATAGAAATAATTAAAAAGGAAGTACAACAAGGAAATCGATAAAAGAGGAAGTACTACTTCCCTTACAGCAAAAGTAAAGTAAAGCAATAAAAAAGAAAGTACTACTTCCCTTATAAGAAGTGCAGATGTAAGCAAAAATAGAAGTAAGGGCAAGAGACGAATACCTAAACCCAAACTCAAACTTTGAAGTTGGGCAAACCATACCTATCAATCTGAACAAGGGCCCTAATTTGGCGTGGTAATTTAGTTAGTCCATATTCCTGGTATCTACGATGATGTCATCCCTCGGTAGCAAGAGCATTCGCAACTTGATTTCCTTATCTAAATATGTGGGATACCGTGTCTCTGTCAAAGGAAATGATGTCTACAATCTGTCAGATGATGCCCTGGATGGTCCAAGGTCCCCCATCTCTAATGATACAGTGAATTGCCACACTCGAGTCAGCCTCAACCCATATGTCTGATAAACCAAGACTCGAGCCAGTAGTAATCCATCAAGAATAGCCCTAAGTTCCGCCTCTAAGATCATGCATTGCCCATATGATGCTGAGAAAGCCCAGATGCAATTCCCTGCGTAGTCTCGAGCCAGTTGTACAAACATAGTTGACAACCATGTATTGTCAAAATTCAAACCATATATATAAAAACAATTTCTAAAATTTTTTAAAATAGATAAATATGGTAGTGTCAAAAGTGT